ATGTTCATTACTACAGTCTTTAATGTCACATGATCCTTCAGAATATGCTTATTTGGTGCTTAAGAAACATTGATTATTATAAAAACTATTTGTAGTTGGTTGTGCTGCTCAATATTTTTTTGTGGAAAGTCAAAAAGAACAGAATCCACAGAAATCTTTCACAACATTATAAATGTGTTCTCTGTCACTTTTGATCATTTTAATGTGTTCTTACTGAATATTTATATAAAAAAAAAAAACACTTACTAACCCCAAACCTTTGAACTGTACTGTAGTTAACCTGTCAAGAAACTTTACTTTAATTTATAAACTGATTAGACATTCTCTTAGGCCTGTAATTGTGCTGAAAAACTGTAATCATCTTTACAAAAATCTCAAGAAAGCAGCTGGAATATACAAACACTGGCACAACAAATAAAAAATGAAGTCTTTGCTCCCACTGCTATTATTCACTGGCTAATTCAAAATCCTCTGACAAAGCATGTTCAACTATTCAGTGAGTAAGCAAGTAAGTTTAAACTACTGTTCAAACTACTAAGTGACAGCAAAGACAGCATTAGTCATACTGGTTGATTATCAGGGACTGACTGAATGGTCACCGTTTTCACTCCTCTTTGGTTTAGCTTCCTCTTTTTGTTAATCAAGGACTTATATTTTCCTAAGTTGCAAATGGTCATAGCATTTCTCGGCAGACCAACAGAGCTAACCGGGGGAGTTAATTCTGACACTGCAGCCGAGAAACCTGATAAACCACAAAACAAATAATCACAAAATACTGATGATGATGCACTCATTTAAAAAAATGGACATTTTCGCCTTTAAATGTCCTTTCCCTTAGCAGGCCTGGCTGGTACATACGTGGAGCGCTTCCTCAAAACTTCTGTCTCTGAAAGACAATAGATCTTAAAACATCTCCATTATGTCTAGTTGTCATAGTCTTCTGTTAAAGTTTAAGTTCACCACCCAAGAGTTCTCCAACAAATAAACATGTAGCTTGAAGCGATCAGATTACTACTTAGTTCACCTCTGTAATGGGATACGTGCATTAAGATCTGAATATTAATGAGCGGAGTCTGCATAAGAGCATTAGGCCATTAGAAATTCACCTTACCAGGTAGTTTCAAGCATACATCAATAGCATGAACGCAATGCATTACATCAGGACTAACTTGACTAGACCTACATTTTTTGTTAATTCAGTTTCATTACACTGGCAGGTAATACTATGGAACACTGTTGTATTAAAACAGCATTGCTAGTGTCAGCAGAGTGTGAGGATGGCTAGTACACATATGGTCAGGAACAGCTGGCTGCTCTCAGCCCCAAGCAACTCTCTGATGCTTGCTGGAAATCTCTGTCACCTACCAGATTTAAAGATCGGCAGAACAACATTTCAGCTGTGCGAACTGAACACAGACACTAAAAATACTCTGTGCTGCTGTGGGAGAAAAACAGCTGAATGAGGGGACCCTCTGGGTTTAATAATAGCACAATGGAAATATACTGGAAATGTAATAGTACAATGTTTATATAAGTAAAATGTGCATATAAAACAAAACGAATAGCACATTTAAAACAGAACTTCATATTTCAGTTATAAGTAAAGAGCATGAAAGGCTATTTAAGAAAGCGTAATATTGTTAGAAAATGCCTTTATTATAACTGGATGCCACTAATATAATATGCCAATTGCAAAAGATTAAAACATTTACCATAATACAAGAGTTCATGGTCATCACATCTGACTGGTTAGAGTTAAGCTATGTGACGTTTGACTGCCTGTATTATGTTGTTTGTCTGTATTCATGAAATTTCAGACCAAAGTACAAAGTGATATAGTATATATAGCACTATATGGTAGTGTATATATATATAGTCACTATATAGCAAAGTGACTATATTTGACAATATCTGTTAGAAGAAATATACAGACTAATTGACTTTTTGTTCTAAATGGAAGACATTTGATATTAATTATCTGTTTATTCCAGTGTTGTTATTGCAAACTAAAATTCAAAGTACAACTATTAAAAATCTTGGTAACACTTTATTTTAAGGTGATCTTGTTACATGTTACATGTACGTACTATTATAATAACAATAAATTATGCATAATTACATGCAAGTAACCCTAAACCAAAACCAAACCCTAATCCTAACCAAAAGTACATGCAGTTAATTAATATTTCTCAATACTTAAATGTATAATTACACTGTAACAAAGACACCTTAAAATAAAGTGTAACCAAAATCTTTTTTGTTCATTCTAATAAAATTTAAATAAAATGTATATATTAGATTCAAAAAAAATTTAAACACTTAAACGTTAGAAATGATGCCAACTAATAGAAATAAAATGTTTAAACTGAAGTACTAAATTTACTACAACGAAAACTGAAGAAAAATAAGGATAAATAGAAAAACAAAAAACTAATATAAACTAAAACATGTAGGCTAACAAAACTACTAAAACTAAAATGATATAAAGGCAATTCAAAATATTAATATGCAATAATGGCATATAAATGTTACTAAAATAGCACTGCTTTAATACACTGCTGAATAGAAGCTATAATGCTATCGAATACCTGTGACTGAATAAGTGTGACTGACTATGATTTGTTTAGCAATCATGTTGGTTTCAGTTAGAACTTGTCAGATGTTAACATATAAAGGAGATGATGGATTTATAGACATGGGACAAATATTAAACCTGCACTTGACAAGCTCTAATGGTTTGGAGAGCCATGACTCTGAAGATGGTGCTACCATGACCTACAAACCCTGAGCTAACCCAGATAAGGCTAATCAGGCCCATTCCTGATGTGACTGCTCAGGAAATCTCTGCTAGCAGCTATGCCTACGAGGCCCAGCAAACTGACAGGAAGAGTTTCACATCAATTAGAGTCAGACATCGTTAAAGCGGAACTGAACAACTATCCATTACAATAACATTGGCTACATCTCCTCCACATACACAAGATGCCAAATGCATGGAAGAGCACTTGATAATGGACTCAAACATCTGCACACAAGGCTGGAGAATCAAAACGTTCACATGTAATAACATGATTTGATACGGTTTAACTTTGAGTTCATTTGTTTGTGGTATGTTGTTCAGTGTGCGTCTCATGATTAGGTGGCAAGTGAACATCTGAAACATGGAATGCGGAGCAGATAAACAAGACCAACCCTTATTCTGAGAAAACCTGGATGGTACGAGTGTGGGAGAGTACAAGCTGACTTCCTCTGAATAATGAAAAGTGCCCATTAAGTTTGAGATGGGAGTCATCCTGAAAGTATGTCACTGAACAAGTCTGTGCAGGGGTGGTGAAAACTTCTCGGCCTCCTAAGGGAAGACTGACTGTGTTTACATAACGCAACGTCCTGCCCCAGGCCTTCCAGCTCTTTTCCTCATTCACAAAAGCTAAACTGCCACTCTCAGCTCTAGCAGACTTTAAAAATATGACAGCTACACCCATTAATACGGGTGGCAGGGAGATTCAGCTGTCATAACACACTTAAGGTAACAGTTCAGCCAAAAATAACACATAAAATGGTTCACCCAAAAATGACATTTCTGTCATCATTTACTGACCCTCACATCGTTCCCAACCTGTATGACTTAAGGTGTGGTCAAATTAGTTAAATTTCAGCAAATTTTGCGGCAAAACCTCTGCCGTCTATTGTCAGTAGTGTTGCGATGTATAAAACAGCTCACGCGAAATTAAATTTTAAACTAAGCAGCTTTCTGTTTGTAATGTCTATGTCTCACAGAAGAAAGTACATCATTCATATAGGTTTGGAAAGACATGAGGGTGACAATTTTCATTTTTGTGTAAACTATGCCTTTAAGACCTTTAAGTTATTGCAGCTGGTAAAGGTATGGCTGTCAAAACAACTTGCATACACAAAACTGGTCAAATGGTATTTGTGTGTTTCTGTTTTTGTGTTGCACAAAGATATTCATGTTTGGAAAAAACATCAGGGTGAGTAAATAAATATGATGTTGAGATATATTTGCTAATACATTCAGCTATCTAAATAACATGAATGATTCATCAGAAATATGCTAATCAAATGAGGAGCAAAACTAGAAAGACTATCTCCTCACAGCACACTTAAAGAGATAGTTCATCCAAAATGGAACATTATGTCATCATTTGCTCACCCTCATACTATTCCAAACCTGTATGACTTTCTTATATGAAAAATAAATGATGTTAGTCAGAATGTTAGCAACTCGCAGTCTCGGTCTCCATTCACTTCCATTGCATCTTTTTCCTTACAATGAACGTGAATGGTGACTGTCGCTGTCATTCTTCCTAGCATCTCATTTTTGTGAGGACTATTCAGTCAACGCACGGCTTCATTTACTTTTTATTGTTTTAAAACAACGGATATAGTGTGTCATAAAAAATACTGTACATTACAGCGGGGTGTGAAAGTGAGCGCTAGTAGGATGGATCAATAAAAGAAGCGACCCATACGGACGCCATATTGACCAAAACAAAATGGCAGAACAAGAGAATAGTTGACAAAGTCTGCAGGCTTTCGTTGACAGATGTCTTCTCGTGACACGATAAATCCGCAACAACGACTATTAGATCTGCTCCGGTGCTCGCGGGTAAGATAATCTGACTCGATCGTACCGAGTGTGGCGTAATATCGTTAATACAGCGATGTCATGTTATCTTAGCTTAGCTCAGCCCATCCACACTTACGAGCGAGGGAGCGACGCGACGCACTAGATCGCTGTATTAAAATATAAGCATACTAAATGTCATGTCACGCATACTTGGAGTGCAGACAGATTCGTTTACTATAATGGAAGGGTTTAAGTTTAGCATAAATGGGGCGGACAGGAAGCTAACGAGATCTGTAGTAAATTGCTTAGTAAATCAACGTAATGTCTTCAATTAAAGCAGCCGATCTGATGGCGATCAATGTCTCGATTTGGGGTTTCTAACTAGTGTGTCAGCAAACCCACGGGTCTGTACCTGGAGTTCGGCCCTCTCCACTTCCCAATGCGCCCTTTCCATCTCGAAACGGGCCCATTCGTGCTGGATGTAGTGTAAAATCCCCGGGATAGTGTACTGCTGGGGCCTGGGCATCTCGTCTTGCTGTTGCTGAACCATATGCGCTCCTCCAGCGCTGGCGATCTGGGGATTAATGCTGCTGTTGCCCTGCTGCGGTGCGGGCTGCTGCTGCTGCTGCTGCTGTCTCTGGGCGGCCATTCCTCCTCCTCCTCCTCCTCCTCCTCCGCCGGGCTGTTCATCCATGTTTTAAAATAGGAAAGTCCTGCTAGAAGTCGCCGATTGTTTCCCCTCAGCCCTCCCTACTTTACCGTTCGTGCAGAGATGCGACGTCGCCCTGCCCCCCACGAAATCGGCTGGCACCTGAGCGGCTGTTGTGGATTTCGTGTCAGCGCACAGATTTGCCGGCCGCCATTAGTCCGATCCCTGGATGTGAGTCTCCTACTGCGGGGGTGAGCGAGGGAGGACTGTGGCGCGCTGCATGATGGGACGCGTTCACCCAACCCTGCGCTGTCTCGAGTCATCCGAATACAAACTGACGGACGGACACTGCGCATGCGCTATGCAGCGACCAGATCAATGACAGGCTCTGTACCTGACGATATAAAAATATGGCCTTGAACAATAGATATACTGTATACATATATAAAGTAGGGCGGACGTAAGTAAAATATAAAATAGCTTCAACTGGTATTTTGTTTCTTTTCATAATTTAAAGATGCACCTCTATATTGCTAATTTCAAATATTTTTCCTATGATTTCCGAAATTCCGATGATGTACACTAGCGTAAAAAATATATATAATTTATCAGTTTACAAATAACAACTGGGATCGTTTTATTTACTATTGACATAATTTCTTTTTTTTTTTTTCACATAAAAATGTGGCATAGCAAAAAATAGCAATATATAGAGTAGGGCAGGCAGAGTGAAAAATATCAGACCTTTTTCCCTTTTCTTTTCAGAATTTAAAGAATTTCAAATATTTCACACTCTTTTAAAAATAATAAAAATAAATAACAGCCACTGAGAAATATTCAAATGATGTAAACTAACATGATGGAAAAAAGCTGTATTTTTCTACATGGAGCAGGTCGCCCCCTCATGGACGCTGCCATGTTGACGTCACATGACCAGCTCTGTCAAACAAACAATCCACTTAGCAGTAATAATTTTACAGTAGTAACAATAATTGTGGTAACTGTGGTATTTTGGTGAAAATTATGGTTACCAAAAATAATTTTATTTATCAGTTTACAAATAACTCTTTTTTTATAAGATATTTTATATAAAAAAAATGTTTACCCTTCCAGATGTTTGCTGACGTAATGACGTAATTTCTCCTTCTTTCTAGCGGTGGCCACTCTTCTGAATTACTATGATCAAGTTCCTACTTATGGTCAACAAACGGGCAGACTCGCCTATCCAAGTATTATGAACAAGTGGAGCTTGGGAAGAGAGCAGCTCTGGAAGCTGATGTGGTCAGGGGATGCCTCGCGCGGAGGAAGGAAGAGGTCAGTCACGTTTCCCAAATTAATGGTTAACCATACTGCGTGTATCACTGGCCATTGTTTGCAGTGCAAAATATTATGAATATAGATAACTAAACAGACATACACATATAACTGATCCCTCGGGTGTGCATGTTCTGCAAAACATTACTATATGAAACATATCTGTGCATGTACACGTATAATTTACACATACAAGTAACATTGTAGACTTTCAGTCTGTTTTGAGTTTTATTTTACCTTTGTAAACTGGCCCTTAAAATCTTCAAACTCGAAGCTTCAAGATTAAAATCTGCTGTTGAACTCAAGATGTCTTAGTCTTTGTATTTCTTCTTCCTCAGTGCTCATTTGTAGAGTATAAGGACTACAAACTGGTCTATCGACAGTACGCAGCACTTTTCATAGTTGTTGGCATCACTGAAAATGAGGTTAGCTATATTATTGGTAAAATGAAAAATTACTGACATTATCATTGGGAATCAGTATTTTTCCCAGTAGTTTTTAAAGTCTGATTTATGGTCTCTGGCTGCTGTCTTTCACACAGAATGAACTCTCAATCTATGAGCTTGTGCACAACTTTGTAGAGGTGTTAGACAAGTATTTCAGTCGTGTGGTGAGTACTGACATTTTGATAAGATTATTGCAACGTTCTGAGAAAATATATAAATGTTCTGTTCATTTATGATTAAATAATGTGTTTTCTTTTCTTGACAGAGTGAGCTAGATGTATGCTTTATAAGTGTAATTACACATGAAGTATTATTGACCAAATGACTATGATTGTGTCTTCAGTGATACATATGAGGGTTTCATTCCTTAATTCACAATCAGATCATGTTCAATTTAGATAAAGTACACATTATACTTGATGAAATGATCCTGAATGGACACATTGTGGAGACAAATAAGAACCGGATACTGGCACCACTACTGGCCCTGGACAAGATGGCTGAAAGCTGATCTGATGCAAATGAGATCTCATTAATGTTCTGTTCCAAATTATAAATAAATGCTTTTCACTAGTATAAACTTAGGGTTTATCTTCCATTCTTCTACAAAATTGTTAAACATAATTTTGATGTGACCTGTAATAATCCCAATGCATTGTCAAAGATGTCAAAGTTCCTCCTAAATACGGAACTACTAGAAAATCCCCTGAACTAAATACAATGAAATGTGAATCACATTCAGGAACAGAAATGTGTTTGTCAGTTCATCATCAGCAGGAAAAAGCAAACAAGACAGTGTTGATACTTTGCAAACATTTTAATGATTATTTTTGGAGCATACACATTTGAAAATATTTGTTTACTTCAAACTGCAACTTGAGTTAAATAATGTTTATAATATACAAAGAAAATACAAGGGAAAGCACAGCTTGCTTTTTGCTTTGTCTTTTTTTTTTTTTTTTTTAAATGTGCCTTGCACACAGAACCAGTGTTTCTGTATCTATAGCTTTATTGTAAAATTACGCAAATGCACTCAGGGACTTTGATCCTTTAGCAGGGCAATGAACAGTTGAAAACATACTCACACGGTAACGGAAGCAAAAAAGAAAAGCATGTGCATGATTGTATGCAGACAGATTAAGTAAAACAAACGAAAGAAAAAAAAAATCCTAATATTTCAAGAATGCAGGCACTAGTAAAACTTAAAACATGTTAAGGAAATGCTCAAACGCTCTATAGTTAGCTCTACAGAAGCAGGTGTGCTTGTGTCCAGGGTCTGACGCTGCAGATGGTGGTATCTGGGTCTGAAAAAGATGAACTATGCCAAAATTTACACTGAACCTGGAGTAATGACAGTAAACTCAGTAGGTGAGGAGAGACTACCCTGGCTGCCAGTGGCTCAAGCCCTTAAAGCGGTAGAGTGACCTGGGAAAGGCCTTGTGAAGCAGTCAGTGGAGGAGGAGACCCTAATTGGATTCAGGAGCTAGTGGAGCTGCGACGGGACTGTTTTTTCTGTTTATCTGGGTACATGTGAGGTGCTTGGGGAGAAAGGAGTTCATCAGAGCACAGCTTTATTTTCTGCAACAAAACACAACAGGCTTCACCAGTACGGGAGTTGGTCAATGATGTAGGGAGAGCATGCTCAGTTGAGGTGGAAGCCCTTCTCCATAGTGGCAGCGAGGAGGCGCTCTCTCATGATCTCTTCGGAGGAATATTCCGGCAACTTCAAGTAGTGCACACACGTGTTAACTGAAGGGTAGCTGGCATCTGTTGCATCAACCTAGAGGAGGAAAAGACAACAGCGGGTATGTATAGAGACAGTGTTAACTGTAAGTTTCAGTTTTGACAACATGGGACCTTTAATGGCTGGGTTTTAGCGTTACGGATTTTAGTATGCTTCCATACCTTCCGGACTACTGTGAGACGTGGATGGAGGTTGGCCAGTCCACCAGGGGGCAGGGTTGAGCAGCCTGTGGTGAATTGGAGGAAGGCTTTCCTCTCATCCGATGACATTCCACACAGCACTCGCACAAAGCGCAAGAAACCAGGACTGCAATACAATTAAATCATCAGCAAGAAATACACCGTCTGAAAAGTGGCCAAGTAAGTTATTGAATATATTTTACATTATTTAGAAAGCTGAACATGAAACCTTTTATTTCAAAGAGGTTCACATGTACGTACCATAATATTCAGCTATTATTATGTATATGCATTCATACACTACTACTACTAATCACAGACCTACCCTCAAGTATGCCATCATAAAATGTGACCCTGGACCACAAAACCAGTCATAAGTCACACGGGTATATTTGTAGCAATAGCCAAAAATTGATTGTATGGGTCAAAATTACCGATTTTTCTTTTATGCCAAAAATCATTAGAATATTAAAGGGATAGTTCACCCAAAAATGAAAATTTTATGTTTATCTGCTTACCCCCAGGGCATCCAAGATGTAGGTGACTTTGTTTCTTCAGTAGAACACAAACAAAGATTTTTAACTCAAACCATTGCAGTCTGTCAGTCATATAATGTAAGTGAATGGGAATCACGGCTTTGAGAGTCAAAAAAATAACATAAACAAAACCAAATTAAACCCTGCGGCTCGTGACGATACATTGATGTGTAAAGACACGAAATGATCTGTCTGTGCAAGAAACTGAACAGTATTTATTTAGTTTTTACCTCTGATTCACACAATGTCCGAACTGTCCTTAGCGTGTTCGTGTCTTCTTCTTGCTTTACGGCAGATCGCAGACTTCTAAGTGCATTACCGTCATCTCTCAAATGGACCATTGACACTCTATCTACAATTCAATTAGGAGTGTCAATGGTCCATTTGAGAGATAGGTGATGGTAATGCACTTATAAGTCTGCGATCTGCCATAAAGAAGACGACGAGTCACGCGCCGGCTGAAGAAGAAGACATGAACGCACGCTCAGGACAGTTCAGACATTGCGGTGCATCAGAAAGTCACCTACATCTTGGATGCCCTGGGGGTAAGCAGATAAACATCAAATTTTCATTTTTAGGTGAACTATCCCTTTAAGTAAAGATCATGTTCCATGAAGATATTTTGTAAATTTCCTACCGCAAATATATTACAACTTAATTTTTGATTAGTAATATGTATTGCTATGGACTTCATTTGGACAGTTTTAAAGGCGATTTTCTCAGTATTTTGATTTTTTTGCACCCTCAGATTCCAGATATCAAATAGTTGTATCTCGGCCAAATATTGTCCTATCATAACAAACCATACATCAATGGAAAGCTTATTTATTCAGCTTTCATGTGGTGTATAAATCTTAATTTTACAAAAATTGACCCTTATGACTGGTTTTGTGGTCCAGGGTCACAAATCAAGAAATAACTGTAGTGTCTACCTGTCCCGTGTGTAGCCAAGTTTAGGTTCTGTGTAGTTAACAATGTCTTCAGCGGTCCAGGATGGAGACTGGTTGCCACACAATATCATCTGCACCTCTTTATGACTAAATGAGCTGAGCTTCTCCATAGGAAACACCCTGTTAAAGCCCTCTGTAGCAAAACACATACAGACTGCCATTAGAACAAAAAAATCTAATATATTTAGTTATGTATATTTATTTTAGTTTTACATTTCACATTTAGCAACATATTTGTAACTAATAAGAATGTTGTAACAAATGTTAT